GAGAGGGAGCTGGGATTGACATATGAAGCAAGCTTGTTTCGAATTTAAATTAAAAAGTATTTTTAAAAATTTCAGTGAGAGTCTGTCATTGGGAAAACTGTATGTTTGTACCAAAAACAAAATAAATAAATAAATAATGTTTGACTTCTTGCTAACAATTGAATATCACTAATATCAACGTGTTTTTCTCTGTGTTTTGTGTACTATGATAAACATAAAATAAGTTTGTGGCCAGCAAGATGGTTAAGTGGGTCCGGTACCTGATACTCATCTGTGATGACTGGCTAACCAAAAAGACAAGTTCTGGGTCGGTTAGAAGTCTGCTCAATAAATAAAAGAGAAGAGTAGATGAGAGAAACACCTGGTGATGACAATCACTGCCTCAGCACTCATGGACACAGAAGTAGACAGGCACCTGTATTCCCAGTTACACATTTACCATACGTGCAAACATGTACACAAACATATACATGCAAAATGAGGGTAGTAGTCACAGTTTGGTACCAATATATACTTCAGCTTAGACTGCTTTTTCCTTATTTATAGTGGTTTTTCATGCATAATTGATGGTGCTAAGAAAATAAGGATTTTTTCTGGAATACATAAGTATATAGGTTTTTTTCAAGACAGGCTTTCTCTTTGTACTGTTGGCTGTCCTGGAACTTGCTCTATAGAACAGGATGACCTTGAACTCAATGGTCCACCTGCCTTTGCCTCTCAAATGCTGGGATTAAAGCTGTGCACCACCATTCGGCTAGATTATATTTTTTAATAATAAATGTGAAATTATTTTGTGGTATTACATATATATAGCTAATTACGCTATATAACTAAAATAGAAAAAACATCATTGTATGTACTTTAGTCTTTCTTAATGTGTATTAAATAATCTGAATTAAATGATTTAAAATAAATATCTTATAATCAATAACTACTGTCTAAAATAATGTTATTAGAGAAAAATGTTGACTTATACAAAATGTTCCATATGGTATTGTAAAACTCATTCTTAATATCTAATTATATCACATACAGTAATGTATTTTGTGATATAATACCTAAAAATTTTCAACTATTCCAGCTGCTATTCAAATTTGTTACATATTTTATAGGTATCTCTTAAACTGTTCACTGATTGTCTTGGAATCTTTGTTCAAATTCTTGCTTGGTTCTAATCACTAGCAATTTGCTTGCATTAATTTTAAAAGTCACCTATAAATCAGGAGGGATATACTTAATACTACTATAGTTGAATTAACTGCCCTAACGTTTGAAAACAAGATGGCTTAATTAAATAAGTGACCTACTCGTTATAACTACAATTGAAATCTGTTCATTAGCAATAAATGGAATTGTGACAATTTATCAGCATCAAGTTCACTGTATTCTAGACTTAAAAAATTAATAATTCAAAATTAAAAAGGAGAAAGACTGGTATTAACTTGCTGGAAGTCTTTAAAACTTGAGACTTACCAGTGTTTAACTGCAAGAGAATACTTTAAATATTTATTGTTAAAAAATTATAACCATTTTGAAAGGGAAAAAATCTTTAATTTTTACAATTATAGAAACATTAAGTACAAAACACAGGCTCTTAGCACTTTCATGAATCTACATATTACAGAACAGCTCCTGTGTGAAGCCAGTAAGATTTAATCTCTATTTATGAGTTTCAATCGTAGAGTAAAAGTAAAATCACAAAATATTCTAAATGCTACATTAAAGATGCACTGAGGACCTTGTCCCTTTCTAAGATGATGACTACAAGTGCTTTATTTTCAAGCCATTGTAGAACATACTATACACAAAGGATATAGAATGGTCTTTACATTTTAAGATGTACATTTTTCTAGAACATAGTCATAACATAAACAATCCTGTCATTGAAAAAATTCATCTATTATTCAATAAATACTTCCCTACTAAGAAGGAATGTTTTGCACGTCTCTGTATATTTTTCTCAGACCTAAATAATGAGACCTGTGGCCCAACAAGCATTCAAATACCAGATAAATGGAGGGATGGGTAAAAATCATTTATAGAAATTATTTTGTTATACTCCAAATTTCAAAGAAATAAATATTATTATATGCAAAACAGACAATCTCAAGGCAAAAGTTGTGCTCTCATCCAGCAACTCTCAAATTTTAGTTCAAAGTCTCATAGAACCAATGCCATGACCCATTCTCAGCACTACTGGGACTAACTCATAGTCTATGCAGAAAAGGTTAGCACATGCAGATGAGAATGGATTACATAAGATGATGCTAAGATAATATATTCACATATTCTAAATATAACAAGTACATATTACATATATTACCTGCATATATGTGTGTTGGTCAGGGTAGGCTCAAGCTTACCTACAGAGAGGCAGCCTATCCTACGTTGTGCCAAAGAAATGCAATATAAAACGTACACTATCTCAAGCCAGTTTTAATGGTTCATGCATACAAACCCACCATGTGAAAGGCTGAGGCAGAAAAATATTTATTAATTTGAGAGTGGCTTAAGTTATAGTGAGTTTCAGGCCACAAGTCTAAGTTACTTTTGTATCCTAATAGGCTCTGATGAGAATTTATTTTTCTCTTCAAGATCAATTATCTATCGCATCCTCACTTATTTTTGCAAGCATGCCCTACTAAGACTTACCTTAAAATTCTTAAAGAAGGGGAGAGGGGTAAAAAAAAACTACTTCCCCATAGTTAGAATAAACACCTTTCATCATCTCCAAGATGTCATTCTAGAAAGAGAGGTTGATCATCTTGATTCCAAATTCTCCAGAAGCCATCAAAGAGGTTTATTTAGATATTGACAGTGAAGCCAGCAGTCAGTCGGGTCATAAAGTTTTCAGGAAGAAGACAATAACCACTGTGGGCAACTAGAATATATTATCCATTCAGTCTTTCAGAATCTTGGTTTCCTTGTTGCTAAAATAATTAGCTAGATTTGGGGGTAAGCATGAAATTAATGCCATGTGCTACATTAGACCTGTGCCATCCCACCTTCCTTCTTGTCACTATTTTATGAGGCAGACATTTTTGAGATACACATTCACACTATAAACATAAAATTACTAAAGCTCATAATCTCCATTATTAAAGGCCATTCAACTATGAGGGTATAAGCAAAGGACTGAAATCTGTCCTCTCTGATTGTAATGATCTTTCCTTCAAAGATTAATAGCAAATATAAAACCAATTAAATATTAACTGTTGCAACATCTCAAAATCAGTTAAATTTCATAAATTCTTTGAACATCTAACATGGTTCATCAATACTAAATACTTTATTTCAATGATAAATGTAAGTATATTTTTAAGTTAAAGATAGGTTGGAAAAATAACAACTTTTTGTAAACATAAATTTTAAATGACTATGTCAAAGCATTTTAGAGTGGTACATTGACACATAGGAAGCACAGCTAGCCCAAACTCTAGCTGTGTAAATACCAAGACAGAAACTTTAAAAAAGTGAGGGCAACCACATGAACAATCAGCATTTGGAATCTAGTTAAACAAATAACTCTATGGCACTGTAGCCAGTACTTGTTCAAAGAATTCAATCTAGCCCATACTTCCTACACAAATTTCTGATGCTGAAGTAATGAGCCTGAAGTCCCAAAAGAAATGGAAATACCATCACTAGAAACCCTATGCTGAATTTTATAAGTCATTTCACAAGGATAAGATAGTTTATCTAAATGTCAGCTAGCCATCGAAATACATTTACCCATCCATTTAATTATCCACTTAACTCCAGTTAATTCCCCTTAACACCTTCTTTTAGATACACGGTAAATAACCCAAGAACTCCTTCTGTAAATTTCTAAGCACTGTGCAAGGTTCTGACTAAAAAGAAGACATTCACTGGAAACAGTATCCTCCACAAAAGCATCCACGCATATGTCACTAAATACTAATGTGAGACCAAGAAAGATACCCGTAATTGAAATCCAAGACAGAATCCCCAGAGAACTGGAATATGAGTTAGTACTGGAAAATGAGAAGGTGAAGAAAAAGCAGAGGGCATATTGCCCAATGGTGAATGAGGAAGAGACTTCAGATTGGACCAATAATGGATCTTCTATCTAATTCAAATCGAGGATTTATGCCAAAGTGAACTTCAGAGAATCATTTAAGCTGCATTGAGATATTAGTTATACATATGTTACTTTAAAACAAAAAAGTGGCATGTGATATGTGAAATTACTATTCTAGCAAACAATTCAATGAAACATAAAAGTGGGCCAAAAAAAAAAAAAAAACACCCAACTAGTCAGAGCATCGTGTAACTTAAATTGCACAAAGCTTAATGCCATTGATAAAACATATAAGCAATGCTTTGCTAGCAATAAATATTTCAGCTTTGAAACTTACCATTTTGAGATACACATTATTTGGGTGAAAACATGCTAATCATGCTACAAGAACCCGTTTGCTGGATTTCCTATTCCAAGCATTCTTGCTTCACTAACTACCTGTTACATATTTAAACCAATTGCCCACCTGAGCTCCAAATATTTAAACAGCAGAAAATTCCCAGTTGCAAGCTAAGATCTAGTCGAGACAACAGTGACAAGGAGTACGAAAGTGGGTACAGGAGATTTTAAGTTTCTACTGTGATTTTTCAATCGCTTTGATACATTTATGAGGTGGATTAGCTCTACCAAGGGAAAAGAACAAGAAACATTTCACACTGAAACTGCGTGCCGTTTGAATGTGATTGTACCTCTGCTTGCAGCCTCATACACAACCAGGGAAGCACACTAGACAAAGAATATCTAATAAATGCAACAAATGCATCGCAAGAACGAGAAAGTGGAAAGGAAGAGTTCCTTGTCCACAGCGACTGCTCTACAGAGTCAAAATGGAGAGGTGTAGAGTCCCTTTTACTCCCTCATTGCTGGTCTCCCTTTCTCTCCCTCCATCCTCTCCACATCTCTCCAGTCCTGTCCCCTTCCAAGCAGTATTCGTGGAACACTGCACCAAGACACTCACCTGTCATCATTTTGCCAGCCTTGGTCCCCTAGCAGCAAATCCCGAAATCTGTACCTGGGAGGCAGAGGGGGCACTTCGCTCTCCAAATCAACCATCCTTCCTTAAAGAGTGGGCAACATCCAACAAGGGATGGAGGAGGGCAGCTAGGGGCAGCGAGCGCTGCAGAGGGGGTACAGTGAGGAGGAAGATGGGAGAAGGGCCTGGGGAGACCCGGAGAGGGAGGGGTCGCTCGGCCGGAAGCTGAGGCTGGAAAGGGGGCTGTCTCCTCTTCCCCGAGGGTGTGATGGGGATGATGCAAACCGAGCCCAGGAGCAAAAGTCTGGCTGCGACTCGAACCGGCGCTGCCAAGGAACCGCCCCCAGGCTCGGCGCCGCCTCTGATCGCTGGGACCGTCGGGGGGGGGAGGCGGGAATGCAAAAGTTACTTCACCCACAAAAAAAGAGAAAGATCGCGCGGTGCCTAGAAAGAGGGCAGGTGGTGGGCGTGAGCGCTGCGTGGTGGCCAGGCACTTTCCTGAAAGGCGGGGACCGGAGCCTCCCACCAGGGCATCCCCAGCGAGAGCGAGCTCTGGGCGCAGCCGGGCAGGCAAGCGAAGGCGGGAGCAAAGGCGGTGGGCTCCGCTCTCCCCGCACAGGTCTTTCCAAGCCTTTGCTGGAGGCCCAGCCAATGAGTCTCCCCCTCATTAGCATAACACAGTGACGGCATGAGGGTGCCTTGGGGACAACCAATGGGGGCGAGCTCATTAAATGATCCCCGAGCTCCATACCTTCCTGGGAAGACATTGGAGGGTGGGGGAGCCTCTAAGGAATGTTTCCAGGTGTCACCAGCATCCTGGCTGTGGTCGCCTTCAGCTCTGTGGATGTAGTGGAAATGGATTGGTCCTGGACAGGGAATCCCCGCTCTCAGTCCAAGGAAAGTCCTTGCTTTCCCCGCCTCCCTTCTTATATTCTGAGAGAAAAAAAAAAAAAAAGCGGTGTTTCCCTGGTCTCAGGAAAATTGCTGGGCCACCCTTAAGAAACAACTAAAGAGGACCATGTAAATGAAAACTAGGAGAGAGCATCGGGAAGCAAGGCAGGGCAAGAATCTACTGAGTAGTTGGTGGTGGTGCCACTGGGAGCTTGTGGGCCCCTGGCTGCAGCTGTACTCCTACAGTGGTGCTTCACAGGGTCCCAGGACTACCGAGCTGTCTATTCAGCAGCTCCCTGGGCCTTTCTGAACCCTACCACCCTACTACCTCTGGTTCTACTTGTATACCTTGGTTTTTCCTTCAGGAATGGATACCCAGGGCACAGACACACAGACAGCCACAGCCAACTGCACGTCAGAAAAGCAAAGACACACACTGCTCTGGCCCTTACGATGTTTGTATGTAGAAACAAGAGTATCATGAAAATGGGGCCACAACGGAGTCAAACAATGACTTAGTGAACACACCTTTCCTGGGGGCAAGAAACCACCAAAATGAAGCAGGTCTGCAGTGAGAGTGGGAATAGGGAATACTAAAATGAGGACCGGGTAAGCTTTATTTTCTTTTTATTGTTGCTTCAGTTTTTGTATTTTTGGTGTGGTTTGTTTTCTTTGGGGGGGATAAGCTTGCTTATCAAAGATAGAGTAATTAATTCTTAGTAAAGATCATTTAGCAAAGAAGTCATAAAGCTAAAATGCAGAAGAAAATCAGCAAAATGGCTGTGGCAGCAGATGCAGTAACAGCAGCTAACAGTTGGAGGGGCATGGCTCCTTCCCATGTACCTTTCCCTTCCTGCTCACTCATCTAGACCTGGCTTGCATGCCATGTCTCCTTTAGATTTCCCAAGTCTCCAAAGTGAGCTGAATGTGCCATCTTCCTTTGAAAGCCCCATGCTTCCTTTTTGCTGGTGGTGTTTATCGTATTCTGACCTCTTAAGTGATTATCTGTATATGTTTATTGTCTTTTCTCCTCAATTTTGTTCAGTGCCTTCAAAATAGCCAAATCTTGCCCAATAATGTACTGAGATGTTAACGCAGGAAACAAACGGAATAGCTATCCAGTGCTATATTCAGAGTAAGCAATATTTCAATATAGAGATGAGTTTCTTATTTTTCACTTTTGTGGCAATCTTAGTTGAGACCTGAGTGATCAGATAACAGTACATCATTAAACGACTCTGCTAAAAAGAATGAATAAAGATCTACTTGGCTTCTAATGTCATACACAGCTAGCCATTAATGACACTGATTGTTAGTTATTTCCTAGTGTACTCAGCCAAAACAGACACAACTATGCTAAGAACATGCTGGTTTTCTCTGTACCACAAAATTGTGACCAGAGTAAAAAGTTCCCAATTTGATTGCTTCATTAAAAAAAACTATTCTGACATTCTTAAAATGATGTAATCATGGGTATCAAATAAGTTTTGATATTTATAATTGAGAAATCTTTTTTCCACTTTTAGTGACAGAATTCTTCTTTTGTCATTAATTTTGGCTTCTAGTTCTCCCACCTGCCTTTAACACTTTTATTCTTTTGTTTCTTATCATGTTAAGGCATTCCCTGCTGCTACAGCATATTTTCCTGTTCCAGCCCTTACCTTGATTTCTCTCTTCACTGTGTGCTTCAGCCTTTTATCTCATCTAGTCTTTTTTTTCTGTGTATATGGGAAAGCTTTCTTTCTACTTTTACATGAGATTCAATTTGGGGAAACAAATTTAAACTTGGTATTGCACGTTACATTCCTAAACTATATAATCCTTGCTAATGTTGCCAGGTTTCCTATACATCTCCTAGTATAGATGAATAGCAATAGAAAAGATTATTCTCTTTCTCTGTCTGATTCTTTCTCCCTGCACATGTGCACACACACACACACACACACACACACACACACACACTCACACACACCTTACACTCAAGTCTCAAATATGAAGAGGATCTGAAAAATAATTTGACATAAAGTTTATTTTTGTTTTGTTTTATGTTAATGGGTTCACCAAGATGATATTCTTTGGTTCACACAATAACTAACATCCACTAACTCATCTCATCTGCCTACGAATGCATTTCTTCCTTACATTAGTCAAACTCCATTTCTACTTAACTCTGTATATTGAGTCATATATTGTCTTTCAGGATTACTCTAATCACAGACACACACACACATAATAGAGAAGCTGGTCACACAAATATGTATTAGCAACAAAAGAGATTGGTCCATAAAACCAACAAAGAACATTGGTCACACAGGATACTTAGGCAAAAGAGGAATGTAGTCACAGGCATATCTCACTGAAAATGATCTAAACAATTATACTAATAAAGAGTAGCAAATGAATGTTAATAATTTCTTAGTTTTTGAAATTTTAATTGCATCTTCTAGAAAACACATTTGAAGAAATTTTGTAATTTCTTGGTATTTGAGTAACAAATGTTATTTTCAGCAACTTTCCTTTTCAATATGTTGACTAAAAAATGTTTTAACACAAGAAAATATTCATTCCTATTAGTGAAAAATAGGAATTTATTAACAATTAATAATCTATTCTTAATTATCTTGTGTATAATTAACATAATTGCAGTCAAAGAATAAGATGGACAATTTTACACAAAACTTAAAAAGAATTTGTGTGTGCATTTATATATATATATGTAGATAGATAATAGAAAGATAGATAACTTATGAAGAAAATCCACAAACTGTTATTGATAATGCCTACATAGACCTTAAAGGACTATTGAAAATAAAATTTAAAAAGAAAAAAAATTGCATATTTTAGGCTGTGTTACTTCATAGAACCTCAGTATGCAGGCTAAAAAATGCCATTCATTCAGATAATAGCTTTAAGCTATATAACATATACATTAACTTTAAGGTATATGGCATATATAATATATAAAATAAATTTAAGCTATATAACATAACTGAGTGAATGTATTCTATTCTAAGCAGGTCCTTTGACTTTATTGCAATCCAAAGGGTAAGTGATTGCAAGCAGTGGAAATGGAGGACAGGATATGTAGGAGTGTCAGTGGAGTGAAAGGGGTCTCAGCAGTGATTACCATGAGCTGCCAAGCACACAGAGAAACCTGATTCTAAATTTGGAAAATTAAAAGGCAAGGCCTTCAGATGAAGGACCTGACATTTATACTGATGAATGAAAAATTAGTGGTGGTATGGAGACAGTAGGGGTAGCTTGTCCTAGTGTACAAATAACAGCTAGAAGGTCCTCATGAAGGTTGGAGAGATAGTTGAACAGGTAAGCATACTTGCAGCTTAACCATAAGGATCTGAGTTTGATTCAAACACCATGATGAAAACTAGGCAAAGTAATATCCCAATCCACAAATTCCAGTAGGGAAACTCCCTGTTATACCAGAGGCCACATTTGTCAACAGAAAACCAGGAATGTCCTATACCCACTTAATGACCCTGCTTCCTCAGTGCCCAAGCAGCCTATTCCCAACTACCTCTCCTATCCTCATAACCACTTCCAAGCACACAACTCCAAAAGAAGTTCCCTGCTCCACCATATGCCACTCCAGGTAGGCTACTTGCCTAAGACACACCTCATCAATAACCTGACTGCCCATCCTATCCCCAACCACCCCTCTCCTTCTTGTCCAGTCCCCAGCACCTGTAGAGGTTCCCTGCTCAATCAGAGGACATACCAGACACCAGAACTCCAGGGAGGCTTCCATTCCCAGATTGTCCCTACTCAATGACTGCCCAGACCACCCTCAATGTCCCCATCACTCCCTATAACCATATACATGCCACCCAACTGATGTGGGATGTCCTTCTGTATGCTGTAAATATATGTTACCTTTATTTGTTAATGAATAAATTGCTTTGGCCTATAGCAAGGCAGAATGTAGCTAGGTAGGAAAGCCAAACTGAATACAGGGGGAAAGAAGGTAGAGTTGAGGAGATTCAAGTGGCTGCCTGAGGAGAAAGATGTCAGAGCATTCCCAGTAAGTCATGGGCTATGTGGTGATGCATGACTAATAGAAATTGGTTGATTTAGTTGTAAGAGCTAGTTAATAATAAGCCTGAGCTAATAGGCCAAACAGTTTGTAATTAATATTAAGCCTCAGAGTAGTTATATTAAAAGCATCTATGGTACCAGGAAGGACACATAAAAGTCTCCAGTTACACACAACTCCAATGAAGGACCCACAGCTGGAACAGTGGCTACACCAACCATCAGAACTCCAGCCCCCACCTCAAGTGGAAAACCTCTGCTTCAACAAAGGCCACCCTGGTCATCAGAAGTTCAGCCCCCAACTCAGATGGAGACCCTCTACTCAACCACAAGCCATTATGGCCTGAAGACCAGAGAAGAAACAGAAACCAAAAAACAAAGACAAACTAAGAAATAGGCACCTACATCTATAATCTCACCAAATCAAGATGCCTAGAC